ATAGGCCTTCTCTGGGGTCCTCATCCACCAATCAGTGTAGCTCAGGATCCCCTTCTGGGCCTGCCAGAACTGAGCCGCACCAGCCACCTGTTCCCAGTTTGCATGCCCCCTCATCTCTTCCCTGTTGGGTGTTCATCTCTCCGGCCCAGCCTTCGCCTTTCCTCAGGTGTTTCCTCTCTTCCTCTGTCATTCTCACCTGCTCCAAAACTGTATATATGGGGTCCTACTCCCAGCCTACGATGACTTTGCAGGCCAGTGACGGGGCCAGTCCAACCTTCAGCTTGCCCTGGAATGTCATCGCCCTGAAAGGCAAGTAGCATCTCTCAAAGTGCATTTACCCCCCAGGATACTTGTTATAGTGAGGGAGCTGGCTCTCTTCACTCCAGCCTTTGGTGCCAAGTCAGCACGGAGTAGGGATTGTGAACGCCTAGTGTTCAAGGTTGCTCAGACCGCTCGGTCCCCAATCCATGCTGTCACCACCAGACATTCCCATCCACCCTCCTGTGACGCAGACCCATAGCTGCAGTCCATGGGTTCTCTGTGCTCTATGTCCCTGAGCCTGTCCCTCGGCGGGGGGGCAGGTGTTGTCACGTGGCTCAGTTTATTCAGGCCCAATCCACACTCCTTGGAGATGTGACTGACCTTGCCACAGTGGTAGCATACTATGCCTCTCACCATCCCTTTCTGAGGGCCCATCTTCTCCTCTTCCTGTATGGGGTTGATGACTGGGGCCTGTAAACCCTGAGCATGGCTGCGTTCGTTCTCTGAGACTGAGAATGCTTCCACTAGGCGGAGTGCCTCCTCGCAGTTCCGTGGCTGGTGCCGTCTTACCCATGTCTGCATCTCATCCTCCAAATCCCACAGGAACTCTTCCAGTAGGACTTTGTCTATCACTCCTCTCCTCATCGAATCTGTTTGCCGGAAGCCATTTATTCAGGGCATCCCTCAAATATTGCATGAGGCTTTGGGGCCTCTTAACCTCTTTTGCCTTTCGTACCCTAAAGGCTTGCCTGTAGCGCTCAGGCGATATTTCTAGCCTGTACAGGATGGTGGCTTTCACTGTCATAATTATGGGTTTCCTCCCTCAACAGGGCTCAATATGCTTCCTGAGTCTTGTCAATGACTAGGGCCCCCAGCTGGTGAGCCCATTGTGAGTGATGAAGCCTGATTTGTATGGCTGTTCACTTGAATGCCTCTATATAAGCTGCTGGGGCGTCATCCTTGGTCATCCAGGGCATCTTAAACAGGGACGTGTTAGGTTGCATCCATTCCTGTTGATGTGCCCCTTGTCTCTGCTGCATCTCAAGCACTTGTCCTATTGCCTGAATGGCCTGGGTAAGGAGCGCTGCATGGCGGCCTTCCCCAGATTGGGATCGCTGATCCTGTGTTGAAGAAATTCCTGGCCGGTACACCACTGTCACGACCTCGGTAAGCTCTGTGAGTATCTCTACGCTCCCTGGGATGGGCCCCCCTAACTCATCTGCCATGTCTTGATGGAATTATAACTGAAAAGGAAGGGTTCAGTGGTGTTCTAAGCCCAAGCTGGAGACAGGGTACTCACTGCCTTGTTGTGGTTGGTCCTGGGGGCTCCGCCTCCCCTCCACCTCAGAGAGCAGGGCTGCCCCACCTCTCCTCTCTCTAGCTTGAGCAGGGGCAGGGACATGGCCAGACACATCCCAGCGTGGCCCTGTTAAGGCAAAGAGGGCAGGGAGGGGGTAAAGTCTTTCTTCCTTCCCCTCCCCACCACTACAGCTTGAGGTCTGCTTGTCTTCAGGCAAGCGGTGGAGGCTGTGGCTGGCCAGGGCTTGCAGACCCCAGCTGCAGTTCCTGGGGGCAGAAGGGAAGGAGGAGGAATTAACCCTTTCCCTGTCCCTTCACCTTAACCTGATTGGGCATGGGGGAGTGGCAGCAGCCTTTGTCAGGATGCCTAGGAAGGGGTTTATTTCCACCCTTCCTTGCCTGTCCCACTGGCAAGGACTTCAGCCATCCCAGCATGGCCCCATAAAGGCTTAGGGGGCATGGAGGGGATTAATTTCCCTCCCCCACCTACCCCCACCAGGGGACCGCAGCCAGGGTGGAGCATTTCCCCCCCTTACCATCCTGGGCACGGAGAGCGGCTGTCACAGAGTTGCAGACACTGGGGATGGCCCCACCCCTACAGCTCAGGCCGGCCCCACTCGGCCATGGCCTAAGCAGCTGCATGGTGGGGCCAGGCCAGGCTGTGGTGGCAGGGGCCTTCTCACTTCTCAGTGGCTGCAGCTCAGTGATAGGGAAGCTGAGCCCTGTTAGTAGGAGCAGCCTGGCCCAGCACTCATGGGCAGCGGCTGGCCCAGCAGCAGGCTAGCCAGGCCGGCTCGGAGGTGCTGCGGGGACTCGTGTCCGCAAGCTTGTGTAAGAATAAATCTTGTTCCATTTACAGCCTCTTTAAATCCTCTCATTCCAATTCCTGATATTCAGAAATGCAAAAGTAAATCACTATGTACCTACAGTTTATCTCATATTTTCCCGTATAAAATTACCTGAAAGGATGGGTGGAATATATATGAGGAGGTCGGGAATGTATTAAGGGGCAAATGATCGAAGACTTGCAAGTGGATTGGTGGAAGTCAGTGCAAGGTATCGGATGCAATAAGTGTGGTAAAGGAGAAAAGTGTATTTCCAGGGAAGGAGGTCATGTGAAGGAGGTGCTGGTTTTTTAAGGAAGTTGATGGGATGGATTTAAAGCGGGGGGGAATGTTGGTACGTGCTTCTTTGACTAATTTTTTCAGAGGTGGACACTAGGATAGGAACAGGAACTGTAGAAGCGGATTGTGGGTGTGAGTTGGGGATATGGGATACTCGTTCTCCAGCTATTTCTATATTAATAACTGTGAAATCTGTAGAGGAGATGAAATGAAGAGAGCGAGTAAAAATCTGTAGGGATATTGGGGACATCAGTAGATTTCTTATTAGTATCTATCCTAAGTATTTCTTACTGGCAGCCTAATCTAAAACCCACTATAAATGGAGAGAGTTCGGTAGGCTGCACAGGTTCTGGATCAGTCCTTTAGTTTGTCCTTCTTAAGTTAAGTTGACAGTACTTACTTGCTAGTCTTCTGCAACAGTAAAAGAGTGGAGCTGGCTTTTTACCCCAGGGGAGCGTAAAAGAACCAGGCAGACTTTGGGGGAAAAACTATGAAACTAGAAATTAATTAGAAAGATGCACAGCAATCTTTCTACATCTTAGCTCTTGGAGGACTAACTTGAAAAGCTGTATTTTTATTTTTATTTTTTTGAGAGGATATTTTTAAAGAAATGTAGCTATTGGACAGTGACATTGTAATATAACCAATGTACAGTTTTCTTTTTGCTAATTTACTGTTGTGTATTTAATTGTAATGCAGCTAATAGCCGAGTTGTATATTTTTTCAAAACTGCAGTATTTGTTTCATATATACATGTTTTTTTTTTAGTGGAGTTCAATGTACTATATTATTACTGTAATGTGATGATTACATATGAAATTTAATTATAGATAATGATATCTCAGCTTTTGATGAATATCCAAAATAAATTTAATGTTAATTAAATATAAATAACATTAGTGAATATTTTTTCAATTAATGCAACATTTCCAATATATCTCTTTCTTATTAGGGTATCCTCTTGGTATATGATATTACCAATTATCAGAGCTTTGAAAATTTAGAAGACTGGTATAATGTGGTAAAGAAAGTGAATGAAGAATCAGAAACACAGCCACTTGTGGCCTTGGTAGGCAATAAAAGTAAGTTGTTAATGCTAAAATAATAAATACACTGAAGTGCTTTGAAATAAGAGTGAAATAATATAAGGCCTATTATGTTGTTATGCTCTAATTAAATGTTTTGTTTTGTGTATTAAGTTTAATTTGGTTCTGCATGGCAGCAGTAGTGACAATGCTTTCTCTGTTGGCTGGGAATAAATTTAATAAAATAACTGTGTTTTAAAAACATGATATTAAGTCTAAAGAATACAGTTGGTAAGATTTCTGTTAGATATCTTATGTGCCATCTGTAATTTTGATTAAGTTGCCCTTTTCCCATGAATCTGCTGTTTGTATTTGTCCTTAAGTCTTTTCCTGATTATCAGAACATGACCTGATACTTTGTTCAGTTGTTATCATCAAAGAACCTTAAGAAACTGCATCCACGTTCTTCCCTCACTAGAACAAATCACTAGATCAATCCTAGTTCTCGCTTCCCCTTTTCTGAGCCTTCCAGAAATACCCTGGCTAGAAAAACAAGACCCAATCTCATTCTTACACTGTTCCAATTGGATTCAAAGTTAAGTTATTCCAAGTGTCTAAAAACAAATGGGGGGAGGGGGAGGAAGGGGGGAGTTCTGCCACCATTTTAGTAATGGTAACATATTTGTTTTAACAACCCAAAAGGTCAAAATAATTTTTGTGCACTTCTCAAATGATTTGAAAAGTGTCAAGACCCAGCTCGGGGTGGGGGGGAAGAATAATTCAGAAAGGTAATATTTTGTTCCCACAATACAACCTTTTTTTAACGGAAATCCTGAAAGGATCCTACCACTCCATCTCTCCCTTTCTTCCTCCCCATGCCCCCCCACCCCAATAAACGCTGACTTTCGGAGCTCTTGTGGACATATAAGTAGCACTTCTGAATGCGTAACACAGATTCTGTAGCACTACTAGCCAGTACCGTATTTACTCAGATCGAAGATGACCTTGAATTCAAGATGACTCCCCACCAAGAATTAGATTTTAGACATGGAAAATTTATAAATCTACTAGCCAGGTGCCCATCAGGAATAACAGGGGGAGGGGGCAGGCAGGGATGCAGTGCCACCACCCACCACCCTGTGTTGCTGCTGCCTCCCAAGAGCAAGGTGGGGGAAGCTTGCTCCTCTGCCCCCCTTAGCCAGCACCCTGCACCGCTGCCATCTCCAGGGAGCAGGGCTGGGTTGGGGTAAGTCCAGCAGGGCTGGCCTCATCCCTGCTGCTCCGTCCCCTCCGTTACTGCTGTCATGGCGGCATGCTGCTGCCGCCGCCTCCTCCAGAATTATCTTGGAGCATTCTGATTGGTTGTTTCAGTAACCAGAGTGCTCCAAGAGTGTTAGGGACAGACGGACAGACTAAGCCCTTTAATAGACTGAGCCCTTCCATGCCTAGAATTTAATTATTGGGGGAGGTAATCTTAAACTTGTTCCCCTCAATTGCTGCAGGAAAACAGAGGAAGGTAGAGACAAGGGGACAGGCAGGGGGAAAATAAGTTTGAAAGCAGGCATTCTATCTCTCATCCTTTGCCCCCTAGTGACTACTCCTTGACTACTTACCTCCCCCTTCTGCTGCTTTCCTCACTGATATAGGCACAGGTCAAGCCCTAAAGGTGCTCCTATGCCATGCTGCAGGGAGGAGCTATGCTGGGAGCCTGGTTTTCCAGGCACAAGTTCCTCCTTCCCTGCCCTGTCTCCCCTACTGCTGAGCCTGCTCAGGGGGAAGGAAGAATCTTTGCTTTCGGAGTCTTTTCCCTGCATAGTTATTTCTTGCAGTGTAGGACAGGAATGGCCAGAGCTCTCCTGTTTGCTGCAGCTAAGAATCATAGAAAATAAGGGTTGGAAGGGACCTCAGGGGGTCATCTAGTCCAACTCCCTGCTCAAAGCAGGACTACCTCCAACTAGATCATCCCAGCCAAGGCTTTGTCTAACTGGGTCTTAAAATCCTCCAAGGACAGAGATTGCATGACCTCTCTGGGTAGCCTGTTCCAGTACTTTACTACCCTCCTTATGAAAAAGTTTTTTCCTTGTCTAACCTAAACTTCCCTTGCTGCAGCAGGAGACCGTTGCTTCTTGTTCTGTTGTTTGCCACTACTCATAACAATCTAACTTCATCCTCTTTGTTGAAAAGTGCTATTAAATCCCCCCTCAGTCTTCTCTTCTCTTCTCTTCTCCAGACTAAATAAGTCCAGTTCCTTCAGCCTCTCCTCATAAGTCATGTCTCCCCAGCCCCCTAACCATTTCCATTGCCCTCCACAGGCATTTCATTGCCCTCCATTTTCATTGCCCTCCACTGTCTCCAACTTGTCTATATCCTTTCTGTAGCAGGGGGCCTAAAACTGGACACAGTACTCCAGATGTGGCCTCACCAGTGCAGATCACTTCCCTCAATCTGCTGGCAACGCTCCTACTAATGCAGCCCAGTGTGCTGTTAACCTTTTTAGCAACAAGGGCACACTGTTGGCTCATATTCAGTTTATTATCCAGTGTAACCCCCAGGTCCTTTTCGGCAGAGCTGCTGATTAACTAGTCAGTCCCCAGCCTGTATCGATGCATGGGATTGTTTCATCCTAAGTGCAGGACTTTGCACTTGTCCTTATTGAACCCCATGAGTTTTATTTTGGTCCAATCCTCCAATTTGTCAATGTCTGTGAATCCTAACCCTACCTTCTAGTGTATCTACTAGAGACTGACTGATCCAGCTGACAGCTTTGAGTAGCTGCTGTACAGGGAAGCCTGGCTGGCTGGAGACCACAGAAGCAGTGTCCAGGTTCCTCTTTCCGTGCCAGTGAGCAAGGGAGGGGATCTAGGTAGGGAGCAGAGCTGAAAGCACAAATCTGCATGCTACTGATGCCGTCTGTGCCCCACCTGAGCTCTCTGCACAGCACTTGCCACTGCTCCCAGCTGGACTGGACTGATATTTGCTTCTAAGACAAGACTTTGTTTTCCCTATGATGAAGGGTGGGGAGACCTTGGCTTGGAATTGAGTACATAAGGTAATATTCTGTATTCTATTGAAATATAAAGAATTTTTTTTCACTGATATTTTACCTAGAAATTTGCTGGAAAGATGCCATCATAGATTAGAAAAAATCAAACCTTGATTTTGTTATTTCAGTTGAGAGTTTTTCATTTCCTATGAAGATGAGACCAAATTTGGGCCAGTTTTTTTTCTCAGTTACGTACGTGCAACCCCATTAAATTGCTGGGATGAAGGGAGGATTTGGTTTTGTAGGTCTCTAAATTTCTGCATAGGAAACTACTGGTACTGACCAAGTAAGGGATCTGTAGGTCGCAAATATGTCCAGTGTATGAGTGGTGTGCTTTTCTTTTGTTTGCTGAGCTCCTGCTTCTGTGTTCCATGGCTAGGTGAAGTAAGATCAAATTTTGCAGTCAAAAGAATCAGTGCATACAGTTCTGATGCAGATTTCTAGCTTGGCATCTCTTCAGAGGGCAGGAACAAGAAATGCTACACTGCTTAAAGTTTTTGTATTGGAGAACAGTATTTGTATGAGAACCTACCAAGAATGGAACATTTGGAAATTCATTGCCATTTCAAACATTGTAACAGGAAAAGAAAAAAAATCAAAGAAGCATCCCATCTTAACATTTGTCTTCTGCCCTGAGTGTGGTTTGCTTAACATATGCTTCTATTTTGTCACAAACAGATAACAGAATCATTGCTCATAGAAGAAGCATGGTTTTGATTCTTGCATATTGCAGGTTAATACCACTAACAACTGCCAAGTGTTTCCAGATGAATGTGCTCCACTTAGAATGGTTCAGCCTCTCTCTTCAGTAGCTGATGAGTCTCAGCTCCTCAGCATGTTGTCCTGTTTGGAAAATATAGATCCACATATTTAGGTCTAAAATGGCCAACTGTGATACTTGCAGTTTGACTTCCTGTATAAAACAGGCCAAAGACCCACATCTAATAACTTCTGTCTCAAGCTCCAGTTTGTCGTAGCATATCTATTAGGAGGATATTCTGATAAATTGATTTAACAGCAAATAATGGAGAATCCACCAATTCCCTAGGTAAGTTGTAACAATGGTTAATTATTCTCACTGCTAAAAAAATCCATAAAAATGCTGAATTACCCAGTCCTTTTTGGTGCTTTTGAAATCGGGTAACTGTGTAAGTGAATCGCTATGAATTTGGGAGCCTAACTTTAGCTAACTATTTCAGAAATTGTGATGTAGGTTTAAAAAGTGCCACCAATTAAATATTTTAATCTTCTTTGTCTTCAATTTATGTTTGCCACATTTCACACATGCTCCTTGGTTCCTTTACAAATTGAATTAATATTTCCGAATATTAGTTTAATGCACTTGTATGGAATTGAAGCGAAAGAATATTTTTGATTTAGTTAATATTTTAATTGTGGGGAAAAATCTTGAAACAGTTGATTTCTTTAAAACTCGACATTTTTACCTCCACCTTGAAATTGCATATAAATGTTTCAGTTTGTGTGTACAACAATATACTTACACCGTGTTTTGAACTCTGGTAGTTGAAAATATCTTTTTATATGCAAAAGTTATCTTCAAGTAATAGAGTGAATTGTGGTTGTGTATAACTCCTTGTAATTGCACTTATTTTTCACTGCGTTTGTCTCCCTTACTTTTCACACTACTTTCTCTGTGACAGCTACTTGTGTTTTGGGATCTTGTTACATACGACTGTAAATTCTCAAGCAAATCTCTATTTGTAATAGCTGTAAATCCTGTTTGAGAGGGTCTTTCATGGAGGTAGGTTTCCAAACTCTAAACTGATATGATTGCTCAGTCTATGGCTCACAACATCACTTTTATTACAATGTAGAAAAACAGCGTAATGGAGGACTAAAGAAAATTATATGATAACTTATTTATATGCTGAGCTGAAAAAATCCTTTATTCACTCAGCCCTAATTATAAAGAAAATATGTCTTTTTTTTTTTAATTGCATCTTTCATTTTAAATCTTTTTATTCCTTAAGGACCAAATTTTCAAGTATGAAGA